ATCATTAAAACCCTACCACTTATATTTATACTGACCAGACAAGCAGATATCAGATATTTACTTTCAATGTGAAAATTTGAAAATTCTTCTTCAAATATAACATATGAAACATCATGTAGTACCTATAATTTTAAAAAAGTATCAGAAAGCAGATATCAGATATTTACTTTCAATGTGAAAATTTGAAAATTATTCTTCAAATATAACATATGACATATCATATAGCACCTATAATTTTAAAAAAATCATCAGAAAGCAGATATCAGATATTTACTTTCAATATTAAATTTGAAAATTACTGCTCAAATATAACATATGAAACATCATATAGTACATATAATTTTAAAAAAGCATCAGAAATCAGATATCAGATATTTACTTTCAAAATCAATTTTGAACATCATTATTAAAGAATGAAATCAATCAAATTCTGCGCACTTACAAAATTGATCATAAGACAAAAATCTGAGCGTATTTCTTGTGTGTATGTTATGATCCATTAGTCTACACAATATAATTTGAAATACGTTATCTTTGATTTATCTGCTATATTTTGTTATCCTGATAGTTATCGCTGAAAAGAGCTACTTATAAGATAGTCAAAAGTAAAGAATTGGTAGAGACAAAAGTTCGTCGGCATTCTTGGGTTTGTTTATTATTTCTAAAATTATTAGCACTTATCGTATCCTTATATGATGTTAGAATTCATTGACTTCCTTTTTATGACGAATTCAAATAGAATAATATTTAAGAACAGCTGGACAAGAATATAAAGAAGATAGAAAACAGAAAAGAAAAAATTATAGAAACATATGAGATTTAAAACTGAAGACAGAAAAGAAAAAAAGTTCTTTTAACACACATATATATATGTGTATATATATATTGCAGCAGATCAAGGACATTCAGAGCTGAAAACAGAAAAGAAAAAAAATATAGTACCATATGAGATTTAAAACTGGAGACAGAAAGGAAAAAAGTCCTTTTACCACACATATATATGCATATATATATTGCAGCAGATCGAGGGCATTCAGAGCTGAAAACAGAAAAAAAAATATAGTACCATATGAGATTTAAAACTGGAGATAGAAAAGAAAAAAAGTCCTTTTAACACACATATATATGTATATATATATTGCAGCAGATCAAGAACATTCAGAGCTGAAAACAGAAAAGAAAAGAAATAGTTTTAACATATGTATATCAACTGATCCAGGGCATCAAGTAACAATCTCTTCTATCTGGATCAGATATCATTCATTGTCGTGTTTGATATGTGATAGGTAATCTTTGTTTTCACTACTATATAAAGTAGTATTAAATTCACACTAAGTATCACGTCTTTTAAATAAAAATTATTGTCATCAAATTGATCAACGATCATGCAATTAATATATCAGTTAAGTAAACAGATTCTATCGTCTTTATCTATTAAATTTAAATTTATTAGGTCTATGGAATAGAACCGTATTTTAATGAATCCAAAGAAAACAAACAGTTTATCAAATTTCATATTTTTAAGTTAAAAGATTTTTCTTGAGGTTGTAGATACAAATAATTATTTTATTTTCGTAATTGAAAATGTCGAAACGTTCACCCATTATGGATGATAAAACAATTTCAGAAATGATTCTAAAAACCATAGCAGCAGCATCACAAATGAACATTCAAATGTCCAACATTCTAAATTCAGAACAAATGCGATTATTGACGACCTATAAGGATACATATAATTATGAACCTTGTTTATCTTTTTTTCTATCATTAGCGATTATGTCACATTTTTCTCAAGGTTCCTATTATACTCATTATGCCAGTCCCGACCATCGTCCAGTACAATTGTATTTATGGTTGTTAGGTTCCAGTGGTATGTGCAAATATTCTTTGAAGCGGTTGCATTTTTTTTCTAATACAGCGCTTTTAATATAGCCTTTTTTTTCGTTTTTGACAGCATGAAATGTAGAAATACGTAGGAGTAAATGAGCATCTGTTTGTATAATGCAAATTTCTTGCGTGGTAATGATGTTGCCATAATTTCAAAAAGTAGGAAAGTACAGTATATACGAATCAATTGATTTAACAGGTCGAGGATCACGAAGATAATTCTTTTCCAAAATGTTCGTGATACATCGGAGACGAGTTAGGAAAACAACATTAAAGGGAAAATATTTGAATAAAATCAATCAAAACAATTGAAAAATAGGTAAAGATAGAAGAAAGGAAAAGAAGAAAAAAAAATGATATATATATATATGTCTCTCGTACTGGTTCTCTGTGCGACATCTAGAGGAAAAAAAAGATATATGTGAATCTCTCTATAACATACATATAAAATGTTATTTATCCCATGTATTTTTTATAATATATAGTTTCATCAATAAGTCTAGATTATACTAAACGTGAATGATCGCGAATATAAAAAATGAACGAGATTGATGAATAATTATTCATTCTTTACTTAAGATTTTTTTAAAATTTCTATGTACAGGATTAATTTTTTGTTCATTTATTTTATTGTACAAACGTTAATTTGTTAAAAGAAAATAAATATTAGTTTAGCTTTGTAATATCTTGACATTTCATTAAATAAAGGTTTTTCATATGGTTGAGAATATTGAGTTGTATAGTTGAGTATATCATACAAAGATGTTCTTATCATATTTTGCGTTTTATTTTACCTGTTTCTTCCTTCTTCTTTCGATCATACCTTCTTTTCTGATTTTCAAGGAAGTGGCAAAACACATGCATTCAGACAAATTGAAAAAGCTATTACAAAAACTGAAAAAATGTTTCCATCAACATACCTGAAACCTGTTATGGTGAACGGTAAACTAACCGATTCAGATTTATCATCCATCATTACCCATACCAATCATATTGGATTGAGACAGCATCTTTCGTCCAATAATAAAATATTGTTAAACGATGATGCGGATCTTATTGCTGAGACTTATGGGTTGTATAACGTAAATGACTGCACGAAAGAACATGAACGAAATATCATACTTTGTGGATATGATGGGTAAAAAAAAGATTAGAATAGAAAAATATTGATCATATGTCATTGTTGCTAGATTTAGTAATTCATCAAGAACGACAGGAACAACAATTATACAGATTGGTGACAAGAGATTGACAATTGCCATTGCCACTACTGGTGGTAAACTATTTAAAAACATGAAAAATTGGATAAATTTTACTGGATTTGACGGTTCTCACAATAGATTTTTATACATGAGCATTCCCAAATTGGCTTATTCAAGACCCCAAGAGTAAAACCATCATTAGATGATGATAGATGCACTGATTTAGATTTGTTATTTGTAGTTTTCAGGTAAACATGAATTCTAAAAACAATCCAACTTTTGCTCATCTATCTGTAATCATTCATTTATTTGGCACTGTACGATTCGTTTTTGAAATGTCAGAAGCTGAACGTACAAAATTTTGCGGTGGTATTTAAATCAAAAAATTTGTAATAGATTTTAAGGTTTTCTAAGTTTTGATTTACTTACTTACAGTATCATTTGATAAACCATTAACACCACAAGTTGAAGATGAACAAACACAACAACCTCGTTCTGCCATGTTCACATTATGGAATTTAGTTGCTGATTTGATTGAAACGCAAGATCAGATACAAAATCAACAGCAACAAGTTACAGATTTCTATGGTAAAACTAGTACAACCTTCCCTAGATTAGCATGCTTAATACAACTGTATATTAATGCTATGGCAATACTTGAACGTGTTAAAGATTTTGTTATGTTTGCTGAAGGTGATAATCAGGATTTGATCATCAATGAGGATTTCGTGAGGAATGTTGATATGATAATAAAAAAAGATTATTATAAATATGACAAAACATATTTACCATGTACAGAAGTTAATCAAGAAGTAGTAGATCCGATGATATTTGTTCAAAAAGAAGCTATAGTAGCAGCATGGAGTTGGTATGAACATCACTTAAATATAGCTACAAAATTATTTACAATTGATCATCATTTTCCAAGTAAATCAATGATTGCACCACCATCAATTTCACCTAAACAGACAACATTAAAACAATTAATTATGTATTTGGATTTCAATATTTTTCCATTATCAGCAATAAGTGTTAAACATCCTGTTACAGAAAAAACGTATGTACATTAGTCTTCCATTTAATCGATTGATTAATTTGTATACTATTTCTTTTCTAGAGGTATAATTAAGAATAGACCAGCATTAGGTGAACGAGCACTTCAAGAATTAATGAATGATCACTTACTCAAATTTAATTATTTTTTGACTGATACTCGTGGTCGAAATGTAAAATCCTATATGAAAGCACCAATACCACCAGGTGATGATCCGACACGAGATCAATTTATCAAAAACTTACTGAAACATGACATAGACGTTAATGAATATTGTTCAATTTATGAATCATCTGCAATTCCACCAAATAATAATCTTTCAAATTTAACATTAGAAATCTTTGAACATAGTACATGTTTTGTAAATGAATATTCAAAATATCAAGTCCAACTAAATATTGTAATTCGAAAACATATTGAAAATTGTGTTGTTCGAGAAGTTGAACAAGGAAATTTTATTATTCAAAATGCAAATGCATTTACTCGTCAATTTCATCATATTGAAAGTTTAGTTTTAGGTGCTCAACCAAATCAAGTAAATGGTAAACGTCAATCTCTGAATATAATAAATCAAGCAAATAAATCAACAGTACAATCTAGACATACAACAGCACCTATAGTCAATGTTTTTCATGATACAGTTGAAAAAAGTCAAGAAACACAACGTGATAGTCCAATAAAAACATCATGTGATCAACGAGATACTGATATAACAGGTAAATTATTCTTGAATCTATTAATTCTTTACATTTATCTATCGTTCTTTATAAAAACTTCCATGGCTGAAGGAGATGATTTATTAGGTGATATTCATAATTCGTCTATAATAATACGTGAAGAATCAGTTGAAGGTAGAGATGAATATCCTGATATATCAACACAAAAAAGCATAACAGAAAGTAAGCTTTTAGTTTTTTTTTCTTTAATTAGTCAATTTCTCTTTGATTAACTTAGTCACCAATAAATATGAAAAAGTAACCGAACAAACAGTTAAAAAAGTCATGCAAAGTATAATAAATGGAAAGTCTGTGATTTATACCAAGACAGATTTAACCATGATATGTAACAAACGACATATTCGACTAGAAGCAGTAAAACGTTTAGTTGAAGCTAATCTGCTTCGGTATGAAGATAATTTTTGGGTCGAACCAACTCGTGCACGAAAACAAACAGAAAAAGATTCCAAACGTATACTTCGTCCAGGATGGTTAAAGTATGAATCCTTTGATAAAATCGTTTTCATTTATTATTGATTTTTTTTGTAGAAATTGCCCAGCTTCTAATTCAAATGTATCAAAATTTGATTTTATACAATCCCTACAAAAACACGTAAATATTCATGTTTTACTAGTTCGAAAGTATTTTCAAATGATCAGAGTCTAATATTTTTTTCAGGTAAATCTTAGTTATGATGATTTTTTAAAAGCATTTTATCCTCATCAAAAAGAGAATATTTTTACGAACAACAATTGGACATTATCAGATGAACTACTTGACATATTTCAATCAAATATATTTTATAAAGAACATGTACGATACAATATTCAACGATTTCGACCAGGTGATGTGATGACTAATGAGTTAGGTGTGGAAAATCAATTACAAACATCATTGACACCTATCTCACATTTGAACAACTTTCAAGAAACAACAACAAATGATAATCCACAAGAGATGTTACAACGACAAATAATTGATAATAATAGTGAAGAGGAGGATATGGTTTATACTTGTCCATTGTCTACAGGTGGCAAAAGAAAAATTGGATCTAATATAAATTTTCAAGAATATCCGAGACGCATACAACCAAGGAGAATGAAGAAAAACTAAATTATTTAGCA